TTGTCGTGAAGCCCCAGCAATAGGTGCACCCCATTCCCTTGTCGAAGAGCCTGTCGAGTCGTGTTGATGCTGAGGCCAGGCAGGGAGACAGGCTTGACCCGCCTTTGGGGGGTACCAGGAGGGGGTGTGACTGTCATTGCCTCTGGGTGTTGGGTACAGTACAGCCCACCCCGGGGGTACTGGGGAAGTTTTTTATACAAGGATTTCTGCCAGGGAGAGGCCAGAGGGTGGGAAGGGATCAGGGAAGTCTGAGGGAGGGTGTATCGGAACGGAGGAGCAATATGTGTTGAATCTTTAAATTTCAACTGATAATCCCTTATTGCTTCCAGCCCCTGCTGGTTGTCCATCCTATCCCTACTCCATCCTACCTCTGCTATCCATCCCCTCCTCTCCCCTCCCAGCCAGTCTATGCAGAAGGCAGTGATAAGCTCGTTTGACATCTCCTATCTGTTTGCACAGGTCCAACTGGGATTTCAGGGTGAGCCATCTGGGGGTCATTTCCAGTTGAAAATGCTGCTGTATCTGCTCTGTAACTTCTGCGATGTCTACCCTCACCTTTTCCAGAGGAAGGAGGCATCGTCGCCACCATAGTGCCCACAACACTGCCCATCTCTAAGTCCATACATGTTTTCCTCAAAGGCTGTGGTCACCTGCACTGGTTGCCAATGTCCAGCCAGAATTGTCTGCCCTGACCACGGCCAGGGGTTCTCAGCTCCCATCTTCTGCCAGACCCGGTCCCAGCACCTCCATGTGAACTGTGCGATTGGACACTGCATGAAGATGTGCTCAATTGTTTCAGCTCTCTTGTGGGAGGGGAACGGTTGCAGGCACCACAGGCACCAAGGTAGGTTAGTGCGGTTGACGAGCCAATCGTTTGCTGGCAGACAACAATGTGCTATCTGCCACTGTAGACACGTAATTTTGGCAGGCTTGGATTTCGTCTCACGGAACCACTGGATTGGTGCCAGAAGAAACATTGAGATGCTTGGCCCAGCGGTCATTAACTATGCCCCTCAACTGACGCTTGGGCCTAAACATTTTGTATGCGGATTTTACCAACAGCCTATACAGGCGGATCTGCTAAGTGGGGAGGCCGGCTTGTCTTTGGGGGAGGTTCCAACCCGACTCCTCTGGGCCGATTGCTAATGCCCGGATATCTGTTTGCGGTTGAAAGGCGACCTTTCCACTCTCACCGTCCAAGACTCTAACCCTGTATAGGGTTGTTTTATCTTTCCACTCAGAAGGCACCCTGCTTACTTGGATGGTGCCATTCCGGCTAATCAGGCACTACTCAACCAAGGCCTTTTGCGGGTCGGTCATATGTATCTGGCCGACCCTTCCCAAGTCCACCCTGAAGGCCACTCAGTCTCCCTCTCTCAGGGTGGGGCCTTGCCTTAGTATTTGGTACCATGCAGGAGGGACCACCTCCATTACAGTGTCTAAGTGTTGTTCTACGTGGTGGCAGTAACGGAGTGGTGCACGCAGCCGGTCTACCTTTTTCCAGTCTTGTCCCTCACAGTCCCACAGGTCGCCCACTCAGAGTATACACCGTTTCATCCAACCAGTCCATGGTGGGGCGGAGCTGATCATGATATGCCCTTGCAGGTCTGTCAGCCACCGGTTGCCGAAGGGTGGCTGTCGGAAGACTTCTTTCCACCGGTCCGGGTAGGGTCAATAGTTTCTCAGGATTTTCTACTAGGAAAAGCTGAAAAACAACGCTTACACCATGGATTAGCCAAACCTCTTTGTTTGATCTATTAGCCAATCATTTGTGGGCAGACAACGATGTGCTATCTGCCACTGTCGAGAAGCAAATTTAGCAGGCCTCTGTTTAAGACACTTGAACAAATTAATATACTTGATGGAATTAAATTCAATTAATGTCAAGATTAAGGTGCTTAGCCCATCTTTCCTGCAGAATTGCCGCAATATCTACTTTTGGATGGAAAAGACGATAAGCTGTCTTAACCTAAAGCGACTGCAAGCGACTCGGTCTCCCCCTCTTATTAGACCTCCAGACCCATTCTTCCGGGTCCAGGGGGAGTTCTGGAATGGGGATTTCTGGCTGGAAGGCCCTCCATCCCCTGATGGAAGAAACATACAAAACCCAAATTCTATAAAGGCATTCATAGGGGAGAAACTCCACTTTATCTTCAGGAGAGGCGGGAAGAAAATGATCCCTGCTAAGTACCTGAAGACTTATCAGGGCCCCCTCCTCTAGTGTAAAAACCACCCGTCCCAGTGTCCTCTGGTCATCAGCTCATATTCCCACTACCCAATCACCATCACGAAAAATAATACCTTTTCTCAAGGTACGTACGCATGCCAGGGGAATGGAAAAGATAATCTGCTCCAATGAATTGGAGAGCTGATGAGCGAAGGCACTTTCTTAGGGAGGATAACAGTGACATTCTTTCATTAGCCCCAAATGTTATTATATGCATCAGACTCCCTGCAGGAGTTGAAGTTACGATTTGTGTAGCATTCAGGCACATGTTGTTTTCCGTTATGTTTCACCCTTTTCTTAATTATTTTGTCCTGTAATGTCTGTGGTCTGTTGTGCATGTGTCCTTGTGGGCATGTGAGTGCCCGTTGGCTACTGTGGTTGAGCTGGAATGAATGATGGCTACATCCTCAATTTGAGAAAGAGCCTTTTGCAAGAACATTTAGAGAAAAATGTAAGACAAAAGCCTAGCGTCCACAACTAGACTGCCCCCAGCTTGAACATTGTCATGTATTTTGGAAAGCGCATAAGTCTTTCTTTTGGAAAAAGTGGAAGACAGTTTCTAAGAAGAAACCTTCTACCTCATACTACGCAGGCTCATTGAACAGCTAAATGCTTTGACTATCACGCTAAATTGACTATCTAGACTGTTTGGAATTTTTCCCAAACTGTTTGGTAGATTCCCACGCTTTACGCACCCGTTCGCCCCTTCTTTTTCTTCGTCTACTTCTTCTCTCCTCCTCCTCCTCCTCCTCCTCCTCCTTCTCCTCGTCCTTTTAAATGGTCCAGTTCTCAAGTCTGTCAATTAGAATTTGAATACAAGAGATACTGAGCAGCCTTACCTGGCTTTGGCTAAAAGCCAAATACAAACATGCTTCCAGCTGCATAGCGAGGTCCAGTGTCCCAATCAATCCGGATCCTGATCGTGAACTATGATGGTGAAAGATGATAATCCAAACAACATAACCACGAGGTTACTATGATGATATAGGATGAAAATACAAATTTCAAACAAAGAGATCTTAACACATGCACTAATTAATACGAATATGTAAAAAAAACGGAAAATTCCGTCTAGAGATTAACGTTTAGAGGTTATCAAGTGACAGGTTTCTGCAATGTTCGTAAACAAAGAGTCGTTCTTGACTTGAGGGTTATACAAGATTTACAAGTACTTTACAGCTCCTGAATTTGTCATATGACAAAATCTTACAAGTTAAAAAAATCATAAACTGATAATAGTATAATATACAAACAGACAACGGAGGACAGGGAAGCGCACAACCAACCAACGGATCACATGGTAATAGGCGAATAGTCACAACAGAGACACAAGATAGGAACCAATTTCTCACTCAGATAAACCATCCGGGATACCACCGGAAAAATAGAAAACAAACTACTATTAGAAGCAGAAAACAAAATAGGGAACGGCCAACTACTATAGCAAGGAAACAATTCTAAATGGCTACACCAACAAGAACAGATATGACCCACAAGAGCACGGCCCATACAGATTTTCACCACGGGAGCTAGGGTTTAGGGTTTTAGTAAGGAAGACAGCAAGTACACCCCCACAGAGCACGTCCCATACATATTTTCAAATTTTCACCATAAAGGATGCATCAGCAGTTCCAGCACTAAAAAATCCAGAAACACGGACAGAGGTAGAGGGAGAGTAAGGGGTTAAGGTTTAGCGTGTAGGGCATAGGCCTTAGAAGCTATCTATAACTTCAGACTTACAGAAAATTCAAACATTGTCAATGCCGAAACCCCTAACGTTCTACCTACTTAGCAAAACCAACAGTAAATGAGTCTGGCCAGTAACTTCAGTATTTAAATCTGATCCGACAGCCGAACAACTGAGAGGAGTAAGCTAGTCAAGAACTACGCAGATACGCCTCATACGACAAACAGAAGCAGCAGAAGCCAGCCTGCCTAGAGCGTCAGGTCCTAAGTCAAGCAGGCTAACTTAGGCAGGGGTGAGGGGTGGTACATCCTTCCAAAAGGAAGTAATCAATGCCGTCCACTCGGGCCTCCCAGCCATAATGGGGAGGAGCGTATGTGTATCCTTATTGTATTCATCATTGACTTGCCGGGGGAATAGGAACCGGACTGTTGCTCCCCAGAATGGTAGGAGCCAGAACCTTGAGGTTCTGAGTTTTGTAAAAAAAAATAAAAAATAAAAAATAATAATAATATACAAGGTAAGACACAGGCAAAACCCATTATTATAGGCCTTATCCAAAACGGAAATCAGACCGATGACCTAAGAATGAAACTATGTTGTCCTCTAAAAATTGCCAAAGACATCGTCTATCCGCCCAAATCTCCTCTTCTCTCCTGGCCCCCTCCACTGTCGTCGCCACCCTATCAATCAAGAGAACAATCCCTATGTACGCACTTTAGGAGATTCCCTCCCACCACCCCTCTGCTCCCTCCAGTAGGAAAGACGAGACCAGCGGTAAACCTCCCGCCTTCCTTCTCACCCCATCTCTCCTCTATCCACCTCCGCCTCCGTCCATCTCCAGCAGCTCCTTCCCCCCTCCCTTCTTATGTCTTTCTTTTTTCGTATGGTTCTTGAAGATGGAAAACATATGGCAATCGGATCAAGTACTCTCCATATGTATGCCCTCTTGTTTGCCCAAGGATTTACTGAATTTGTTCGTCGTATAGACAGTTATTGGCATTTGTGGATGATGTGCCCTTTTTCCTTCTCCTTGTAGTGAAATTGTTGCAGGTCGTCAGTTCTCATGGCCGTCATCTTGCATTGCAGCGACGTGGCACTCCAGAAGCTTGAGAAGTGGATTGTAGGCGAGTGAAGAGTCTGCTTTGTGAAGAGGTCTGGTGAAGCAAGCGAGGGCGGAGAAGAGGAAAGGTGGAAAAGATGTCGCATGCAGCCATGTTTTCACTCTCATCAGGAATGGCATCCCCAACATCAGAATCTGTATACTCAGAATGGCACCATATGCGAGTCAGAAAGAGGAGGACATTCCCTCCACCCGCGTCTGTGCGTCCCACTCCAGTCGCGGTGTGGGAGGACTCAAAGGAACTGAAGCTCCAACCCGATGCGAGGCTTTTGAGAGATGACTCGACCAATGGTGCTGGCAGGGCAGATGCACCAATGAGCAATGATGCGGACAATCCAGTGTTCACGGTATCGGGAACGCCCAAGATGAAGTTTGGGCCTCATCCGGTACGCCGTTCTCTGACTCGGCTCGGGGCAATGGAGATTGGAAAGCCTGGCGTGGTGAGGGAAGGATGGTCTTCTCCCATCGATAGCATCAATCTGGCCTCCATCGACTCCTCGCCTGGCCGGGATGTCACCAGGCCGCAGTCCTTTCGCCCAGCCGCCTCTACATCTGTGGAAACAGCTGCAGGAGCAGACACAGCTGGAGTCGTTAGTACAGCAGCAGGAGGAGCAGGAAGACCAGAGGACATACCGAAGCCATCAAATGGTGCAGATAAGGTGTCAAGAAGCCCACTGTCCCGACAATCTCCGCCTTTCGCAGAAACCGATGCAGTGAGGTATAAGGAACTGCAGAAGGAATGGCAGACCAGTGTTTCTCGTGAAGTTGCATGGGAAGAGAGTGTTCAGAAGTCCTTGAACAAGTGGGCCGTTGATCGAGCTCGGCTCGAGGTTAGTGGAAATGGATTTAATGGATTGATCCGAGATGTCTTGGGATCGTTACAAATGCCATGAATAGATTGCATGTTTGAAAAACCTGCTGCAACAGTTGATTAATCTTCCTATTTTGAGGTTACACTAGATCAAAAAAAAAAAGAAAGAAAAAAAAAGAGGTTACACTAGATCACTGTTCTCAGTTGGGGAATCTTTTTCACTGTTTGAGGAGTTTGTGCCTGCGCCTCTCGGTGAGCGCTATGACGAGCGCTAATTTTTGCGTCGGCGGCTCATGCCGCTTGCGACGGCAGCCGGTTCCGTGGCTTCACACCATCATTCGAACCTTCGATTCCTCGAACACGACGGGCAACGCCGACGTGCTTCTTCACCCGAAGAGGACAGGGCACTCCATAGCCCTGTGGGGACATGGAGAAGCTCCAACGCGCGTGCGCCGGGGGCGCACACCTGCTAGCATCAAGCAGCAGTTTGGTATCTGGTCGCCTGTCTCTGGCCGGACTCCTGGACATAGGGGGAAAAGGCAGTCGGAGTAGTAGATCCCGGAGGATCGCTGGCCTCCCCACGAGACTTTAGGACACAGACGGATAGAGGATTCCCGACTCAGCGACCAACACATTGGCAACCCTACATCATCATAATGACATCGACAATTGATAAGGAAAGCAATGAGTGGTGAACCACACCTATTCTAAGAACAAAACAAGACAGACACTATTCTCTAAGAAAAAGGTGGGAGAACTTTGGTGCACTCGGCTGAGATGTGCGGTTGAAATGTGGGAACCACTTCTTTGTCCGTACTTTTGCCGAGTTATCGCCTTGGCTATAAGGAATGAGCTTGCATTTTCTAAGCGTGTTGTTTTTCCTGGTGATTTTCCACAGGCAGTGTTTTGTGTTTCTTTTCATTTTTTCACAGGCCTCTACCGAGGCTACGCCAAGCCTGGGCATTGTAACAACTGCAGCCTTTCACACACTGGTGCTCGAACGAAGGTAGTGCTGCTTCCCTGACCAGGGAGTAGTCTGGAGAGATTGTGGGGTTGTGTAAATGCCAAGTTCTAACCATCATGCCGTGAACCATCCAATTGAAGGTGCGTGTCAAGCTGAGGTGACAGGTAACCGTCCAATTGAAGGTGCACTTTAACCTGAGGTGCCTGCCAAGGTCATGCCCAATTGTAGACAGAAGTGCAAGTCTATCACACGAGGGCCAAAGTCAGAAGTTAAGCCAATCTGACCATACAACTTAGCTATGGCCACTCAGGTGATTGCGCGAAACGGACGGCAAATGCGCCTAGCGTCGCTAGCGACCATTTGTTGCATTTATTTTTCTTGGGGCACCTGCATTGAATGTGTTAGCAACCGCTGTTTGCTGTTTAGAGCCTGGAGATCGTTGATTCAGGAGGCTGTTGTGTTCAACCTTTTTTCTCTCCTTTTTCGCTTTAGGAGTGCGAGTGTACAGCCTGATGTCAGAAGCATGGGATGTCTGATGTAATCAACATTATCCATAATGTTCATGTGATGGGGTCAGAAGTCGACAGAGGTCTTGTGCCTTAAATCTTGACTACCTTAGTGCCCACGGTGCAAGCGGTCCGGGCAATGCCCGCACAAAATAAAAAACCAAAACAAACGGAAAACATCACATGAACTGCTGACACAGACTCAAACAGACTGACAGACTCAAAATGGATACACACTGCGCAAGAGAGAGAGAGAGAGAGAGAGAGAGAGAGAGAGAATCATATGAACTGTTCACCCAAACTCAAACCGATCTGTAGACTAAAATAGACTCAAAGGATACTGAAAACGGGCTCAAACTGACTACGAATGAAATTGCACGGACTCAAACACACCTACAGACTCAAACTTGATGGTACTGCAGCTGCAGTTGCAACAGGCACTGCAGAGCTGATGGCACTGGCCACCATCTCTCTCTCTCTCTCACACACACACCCCTGCAATAGCTGCCAAAGCTTCTGCAGCTGCTGCAGTGGGTGCAGCAGCACCTGAAGCTGCTCCAGCTGCAGCAGCAAGTGGTGCAGTTGCAGCAGCATGGGATATCTGATGTAATCAACATTATCCATAATGTTGACGTGATGGAGTCAGAAGACGACAGAGGTCTTGTGCCTTTAATCTTGATGATCAGCGAACCTCCTGCTGTTCGTTGCATCCTCGCACAGGCATAGTGACATGTTTTAGTGGGTGGGAATTACCATCCTGGAGCAATGGAATATTTTTGACTTCGCCACATTGCATGTAGGCCAGGACTGCGATGCCAATCGCCCATGCTGGCAACATCTGGTCATTGTTGGCTGTTTGTAGGGCTTTTGTGGGCGCTCCGAAGGGAACCAATCCCCCCGCAGTTTCTGCAGCCCATATCCATTTGTCATGATCGTCGTTGTCGTCGCACTTGTTGTTGTTGTTGTTGTTGTTTTGGCCTGGATATATGTGAGATCTCATTGTGCTAAAGGAAAAATATTACATGCAAAGAGAAAGCTTGCCAATTTCTTTTCTTTCGGTGGCCCTCCCATGCCCCCGTACTGTTAGGTTCAGTGCTCCATTGTTGGGTGCACCGAGAGGCTTGACGAAACAGGTCCAGGACATGGGGCAACTTTCTGAATTGAACGAAAGGCATCTCCTTGCCATCTTGATGTGCCCCTGCCACCCTCCCCTCCCTGCCCCCAGCATTCATAGAGAATGCATCAGGATTCAGAATCAAGTTCTAGGGCGCAGATGATCTGTGTTGAAACCCCTGGCTGCTTGAAGCTGATCTATGTCAGGTCACCTGATTTTTGTCATATAATTTATACCATTCCAGGGTTGCATCCCTACCGACCGCCAACCGTATTGCAGCAGAGCAGTTAGGCTGACTGGTCGGCGGTCTGCCGACCAGTAAAAAAAAAAAAAAAAAGAAAAAAAACGTCCACTGATTTTTTTTTCAAAACAGAGTTGGGGGCTGTACTGCGCTTGCTGAGTACAGCCCAAATCCGCTGAGAAGCTCTTGGGGATGGGGGGGGATATGGGGGGGTTGGGGTTGGAGTATAGGGGGGTATTGGGGTGGTATAGGGGGTATTGGGGGGGGCCAGGGGGTAATAAGGGTGTTGGGGGCGGTTTGGGGGGGTGTATGGGGGTATTGGGGGACGCTATGGGGTTGTTGGATGTGTTATTGGGGGTTCTGGACCCCAATATATATGTATATATCGTCACAAACAACTGCCCGGTAAACCGTAGGCAGAGAGAGAGCAGAGGACAACAAACGAGGGATATGTATATATCGTCAAATAGAACTGCCCGGTCAACCGTAGGCAGAGAGGGAGAAGAGGACAACAAACGAGGGGCTGTGACAAACTGTTTCATATGTATATATGTATATATCGTATATATGTATATATGTATATATTATGTTTGTGACGATATGATGATATATATATATATATGTGATAGACCTTTCTTTGTTTCGTGGATGTTTTGCTGGCTTGTGATGGGGTGTGAACCGACAGTCTGTAGAGTTTTCCATCTGGTGTGGGTGAGTGATAGTCTACTTTGATTTTGGTTGAGGTAGATTATCATTTACAGTGTAATCAGTGAGGGGATTCTGCAGACTGTTGAGGGTTCAGCCTCCTGATGAGTCGGTGAAACTCCGACGAAACAGTTTGTCACAGCCCCTCGTTTGTTGTCCTCTTCTCCCTCTCTGCCTACGGTTTACCGGGCAGTTCTATTTGACGATATATATATATATATATTTTTTGGCGGGGTGCCGACGACCCCCGACCGGTAGGTGCCGACCAGCCGATCGGTCGGAAGGTCGGCAGCCGACCAGTCAAGGGCTGCTGACCGTCGGGGGGCGCAACAATGTACCATTCGGAAATTGATGATAGAGTAGGGATGTTCATTAACAGATGGTTTTGAGCTTATGGTTCCATTGGAGGGAGACCTCATGTATGAGTTGAGACATGTGCTGCTTGGGGCCTCTAGGCCAAGAGTGCTCAGCAAATACTTAGGGGGAAAAGGGCAAACTGAAGTGAGCATCATGGCCATCCTCGCTTTGTTATTTCTTGACAACCCTGTTGCTTCCACTGGGCCATTATGGTCCTAAAAACCTGGGCAGAGGGTTCCAGCTATCAGGTTCTGATGGGGCCTCATTGTTACCCACCCTTGCACAGTAGCAGTTGGCTGCTACCCATCATTGAGATTATTGGCAAAGGCACAAAATAGGGCCGTGCTGTCACGTAACGTGAAAGGGATAAGAAGCCAAGGCATGTGATTCCGCTGTTGCCGTTAATTTTCTATGTACATCACTTTTGTGTTGGGTTTAGGACAGAGTTATTAGCTTAAGAAAATTTGATAACACTCCTGCCAATGATTTATAGGCCACTTTGTGCTGCATTGATCAAGTGTGCACCTGAAGATGAATCTCAACCCCTTGTCTCTCTCTGTACCATTTCGCTGACTGACATTCTTTTCTGAAATTTCTGACTGAGGGATGATGCAAGTAAGTGCAGTGCTGACGGTTTTTCTTTTTGCCTTGTCTTGAAATATGGTTTGATCGGGAACCAGGAAGAGATGGCAAAAAGGAATGAGGCCGGTCGACTGCTGTTCCAACTGCCAAAGGATGCTCAAAACAGCTCGCGATCTGAGTCCTCCAACAAGCCACGCGATCCTATCGTAGACCTACATGAAATGTTCTTGAACTCAGAAGGGCCTACAGCAGCTGCAGCAACCACGATGGCAAGGCCAATGTCAGCTTTCACACCCGCTTCTACGTCATTACCTCCTCAGCGCAGTTTCACCTATGAGCGGATGCCTCGACCAGCATCGTCTTCGGGGCAGTTTAACCGTCATCCCAGTGAAAGTATGCAGAACATACCTCCGCCACGAGCATCAAGGAGCAGTTCCCTTTGGGTATCATATCTCTCTGTCGACTCCATCTCTCTCAATCACATTCCCTATGTGTTTTTCTCCATCTCCACCTTCTGTCTGCTTGCGCCTCTTCTTAGCCACTTGTTTCGCTTTGGGTATAATCCCTCTCTCTTTACTCCACCTCTCTCAATCAGATTCAATCCCCATGTGTTTTTCTCGATCGCCATCTTCCGTCTGCTAGTGTCTCTTCTTAGCCACTCTCTCTCTCTCTCTCTCTCTCTCTCTCTCTCTCTCTCTCTCTCTCTCTCTCTCTCTCTCTCTCTCTCTCTCTCTCTCTCTCTCTCTC